GCTTAGCGAGCTGTTTAGAATAGATGAGGAGAGTACTATTTCCTTGGTACATTGCCTTTAAGCTCATATCCCTTCTTATAACGATCACTTTGGAAATAACGAAAAGGTCAACTATGGGAGAAAGGAGAGAGAAAAAATTGAGCCCAGAGATGTACTGTCTGAAAGCCAGTTCTACACCCATAGCCCATTTGTTGGCAATGCAAGGCATTAACTCCTGAAGTGAAGGGGTAGGAAACTATGGCCTTTCATGTGCCTCACAATTAAAATCCAGTCACACCTATCTTATTATGCTGGATAAGAATGGTTAGAATTGTAGACAAAAATATCTTAGAGCACTAAAGGTTCTCCAACTATGCAAAGCTGGAAGAAGAATCGGGCTCTGAGACAAAATATTGCTTTAATATTAAAGGTCTTCTAATACTTAAGGCACTAACATCTTAATGTTAATATAAATTTGTGTGGAATAGAGACCATTTAATGAGATGCTTGAAATATTACCTTCAGTTTTGTTTGAAACTTAGGTATGAAGCTTCCCTTTCAAAATTAGCCACAGTGATGGGTGTGGTATCTTACTCTAAGCCAAATCTGTCTTCAATAGTTAAGAGGAGGTAGCAAAAGAGTTCAGCATTATGAAATTGCATTCGTCTTTTCAAATATGTTTTTGAATGCTCCCATGTAATTTCAACATTATACATTTGCCACCTGCCTATCTCAGTTCTTTGATGCATGTATCTGCATGAGACATGAATTTTCACACAGGTTGATTATTAACATAGAAAACATTCTAGACCAGTGGTTCTCAACCTGTGGGACCCCAGGTGTTTTGGCCTACAACTCCCAGAAATCCCAGCCAGTTTACCAGCTGTTAGGATTTATAGGAGTTGAAGGCCAAAACATCTGGGGACCCACAGGTTGAGAACCACTGTTCTAGATGCACTATTAAAAGTAAGACAAAGAGTAGATCATTCCTCCAACTATTTATGCCTAGATTCAATAATGATTTGGACTGTCACTAAGTTCTAGTTTCATCTGCCTTATTTTAACTTTGCCTGGTTTTAGATAACAACTTCATATGTTTGTGTTTCCAGAGTTATTTTTCACATATGTGTAATAGCTTATGGTTCATGATATAATCAACATTCATATTCTCAGGTTTGTTTTCCCCCAACAAAACTTCTTATAGTGTATTGCTGAAGGTTTTCATGGCTGGAATCACTGGGCTCTTGTAGGTTTTTCAGGTTGTATGGCCATGTTCTAGAAGCATTCTCTCCTGATGTTTTGCCTGCATCTGTGGCAAGCATCCTCAAAGGCTGTGAGATTTGTTGGAAACTGGAAAATTTGGTTTATATATCTGTGGAAGGTCCAGGGTGGGAGAAAGAACTCTTGTCTATTGGGGCTAGGTGTGAATGTTTCAATTGGCCACCTTGATTAGCATTTGATGGCCTGACAGTTTTTAAGTGTGGCTTGTTACTGCCTGGGAAATTTCCTTGTTGAGAGGTAACCATCTTATAGTGCTCTCAATCCATATTGTGAAGGCAAGAGTTAAATATCTATGTAAAGGAATTATGCCCATTAGTTCATTAGGCTTACTAAGCCTTTAAAACCAGACAAGACGCTGTAATCTGTAATTGGCTGAAGTACTTTAATTGCCAGGACATAACTCTTTCACTGTCTTAACAGTCAGTAAAATAGCACACCAATCATTGCATTGCTATATCCTTGATGTCATCAGTGCCCTTTCAGCAGGTGCATACTATTCCATTATGACACTTCCTCCTCCCCAAAAGGATACAACAGCTCCCTTTTTGACAGATAACTAGTGATATTTTAAATGGAATTCCTGAGGCATGACCATGTAAAATACTGGCTTTGAGTCAAGTTTTAAGGTGAATATTCTTGCACTTTGATAAAACACTTTTATTGACCCCAATGAGAATATATTGAGGATTAGCAATAGGGTTAGTGCTGTGATTAGGATTAGCTATAGGATTTAGTATACACTTCCTATATTTTAGTGTCCTCTCTGAATGGGGCCAACAAATGCATTATATGTGCTTCTGGATACATGGTTTTCTGATAAATGGTATGCCACTCAATACATCATATTGGTTGCTGGGAGGCAGGAGGGGGAGGATCTATTGAGATAATTTTTGTTTTAGCAATTTTTATCTATTTGTAAAATTATATGGCCAAAAGATGTCTCCTGTTTACAATTAAACAGGAGACAATGTCATAGAACATAGCATCATAGAGGTAATTCTGTGTGAATTATGCACCAAGACATGACTCTTAAGCGAACAAAAAGCTTTGTCCTGGTGTTGGAAGGCTAAAACTCATGCACAGACCATCAACAGGTTGTCTGTGCTGCTTTTTTGTAGCCTAATCTTTAGGTTGATAGGATTGGACTCAGTTTGGGGATCAATATTCTAAAAATATATAATGTTTGAAGAAGAAAAAACATATTTTATATATTAATAACAAATAACAATAGAAAATGATGGCAGGAAGCACGCCCCCCTCCCACTGCATTGCTTTAATAAGGCGTTGCTTTCCTTCATTTGTGCTCATAACATGTCAACTAAATGCTTGTACTGTATATCTAAAAGAATTTTAATCTAAGGGAATATTCTTTGTGATTCTAATGAGAAATTTACCAAATAATCCTTTTATCTCAAAAATATGTTACATATCAGAATGTGATTTAATATCATATTGTATTGTTATTGAAAAACACCTAAACAGAATATTGATTTTATGATATTTATACCAATATCAAATACATTATCCCCTTGAATACATTCCTGCCTGAAATATGTAGTAAGACAATGCATTATTTTAAATATATGTCTGATGATGTTGCTTAGCAACACAAAACAAATAAGCAACAGAATGCATTTCAAGAAAATAAAGGAAAACATGGAAAAGAGGACCAATAAACAATTAAACAAGTTTTTGATTGTACCCAGCTTGATATAATATTATTATTATAATAGCCAGTTAAATAATATTGGCTGAATATTTCACTGATGGAAAATCAGCATGTATGAAACAGACCTTGGCCCTTTGCACACTTGTTTAGAAGTAAGCATCATTAAAACCAGACAGTTTTTACTTCTGAGGAGACATACATATGATTTCATTTTACAGCTGTAGCCCCATACACATCTGGGAATAAATTCCATTTAACGTAATTGAGCTCACTTACCAATGGATATATATAGAACTAAACTGCACATTATGTTCCAGGTGATTTTTTTTCATGCCAACAAATAACAAAGCACAGCTGTTCCACACAAACAATGTTGTTTTCACCCCTTTCAGTATTTTAAATGTAAAGATATATGCCATTACATGTTTTGGTAGGCTATGTTAACAGAACTAAGGAAGTATAGTGGAAGCATATATAAGCACATCAAAATGGTACGATAAGAAGCAAAGATATTGGTTACTTTTTACAAAATACTCAAGGTTATAACATAATATTTTTAAAATATGAATATAAAATGTAAAACATTGAATTGTCCATTTTATTGCTTTATTCATAACTGTGTAATCATTTGACAAAGTAAATATTGAAATTTGGTTATAGTATTAAGGTGTGGAAATAACTTTGGCCTCATGGTTCTTGAATGGCTTCAGGCATCTGAGGCTTACTTATAGTACTTAAGTGAGAACATCTGTATAAGTATATCATGAATGACACAGAATGCTCAAAAACCCATCGATGACTTTACACTGTGTCCAATTAATCACTATCCTAGTATGCCAACCATGTCTATATAACCTCACCAGCTGAATACAATACACATTAATGTTTGTACCATAAAGATACTGTCTTGCTAAGAACCACTCCCCATTTGCAACTTTGCCTTCTGAATAATTCTCTGTGTAAGCCATTATCCTCTATTAACATATATACTATTCATTATATTTTTGTTATAGTCTATTTTGATTGTAAATAAAGGGTTAGAAAAGGGTGGATCTCATGAAATATTAGATGCTTGCATTCAAGCCAGTTTACAAAATCTTGCATGAAAGAAACTGGATGGATATTGACGACAAGTTAGCATTTGTAATAATCTATTATGATAGATAAAATGCATTCAAGGTTCTTTTAGAAATTCAGTTGGGGGAAAAATCTTACTAGTGGGATCAAAATGCCCTATTAAAAGCCCTGCTTAATTTTTTTAAAATCAAGAACATTGTCAAAATTATTTATTTCATATAATATATGCACATTTTCTATATTGATAGTAGCATTATTGTAGGTAAAAATCTAATTTTACAACTAGAAAAGACAGGGGTGTGTGTGATAACAATAGATCTGGAACAACAGGTGTGGTGAGTGTTACTACAGACAGCCACTGGAAGGTGTATATCGCAAGGATGGAAATTGTTTTGCTAGCTAACCTACCTTTTTCAACATGTATTCATTTCTGTAAAAATATTTTATAGGATTAGAGTAGCATACCAAAAATGTATACTCTATACCAAAGATATCTAGATTGTCCATTTCTGTTAACCCTTCCACAGTTAAATGCAGGTGGATTTTAAGACTATATTTAAAGGAACAGCCAGACATTTCCATTCACTTATATAGCTTTTTAAAGGCTGAAAATACAGTTCTTGATCTGAACATTCAGAAAAAGATATAGAAGCAGAATACTGCTAATGTAATATAAATGAACATCTCTGCAATGCTGTGCTCCCTACAGGGATGTTTGTTGTTATCATAAGCAAGAAAACCGTTTTCCTGAAAGAGTGGTCTAGAGGTATTGAGCTTTGCTTTCTTCAAAATGCTTAGAAATAAAATGTGAAGAAAGCAGAAGAGTGGCTCCAAATCTATGCTCACAGTGACAAAAGACAGGTTTATGTAAAATGTTTATTCTAAATCATATTTCAAAATATAAAACAGATTTCATTCTGCATTGTATTCATTCTGCTCATGAAGCAAAAGAGCAAATATAATTTTACACTATTATACATAGAAGATCACTTACCATAAACTGTACATTGTCAAATCCATTAGCCAGCAAGTGGTTTTCATACTGAGGTAGCCCAAGATTTTCCAACCATTGTCCCACTGTTTGGACAGGGCATCTGGGTGCTGAAAGAGTTTGAGAAGGGAGGCGTTTAAGTAGCGAATATCCATCCACAGGATAATAACGATGGTCCTGGGCTGAGAGGTGGCATTGCCACATTGTGTTCCGGGAGAAGTTGGTATCAAAGGAGCCCGCCAGCTTGTCAAATGAATGCTTCCAGCAAGTGAGAAAATCAGAAGTAGCACATACTTTCCAGGGCAAGCTATAGAGTACGATCTGCTCCTAGCTCAACATTTCATAGGTATTAATCTCTACTACAGACCAGTACGTCATGTGGTGGAGGAAAAGGCATATCAAGCTGTCAGCTGAGCTGTTTTCCGCTATATGTGATTGTTGAAATACTCCACAATGAGCAATGCGCTGCTAGCAGTAAGAAATCTTTTATCAAGTACTCCTACACTCATCAGTATGCAGCTCCATGCTCCTTGCTCCCCCTTACTTGCTCCCCTTCATTACCCAGCCTAGGCTACACCTCGCATTTTCAATAATAGCCATCAGATAAGCCAGATTTTTTTGTCTGCAAGCTGTAAGCTTGATGCTGCTGCTGCTTCCACCTACACACCCATCCAAGCGTCAATCTTGAATGATGAGAGCAGTCAAAACACATGCAGAAAATAGCAGGTCATCAGAAGCACGCAAAAATGCTAAAATCTGAATAGAACCTTCCTACCAGTTATGCTTTAGAGATAGATCTGCTGTTGTAGAGGCTTAGTGTTTCAAAAGACATCAGGCAACGCAATGCATTAACTGTAGCCTATGGCATGGCTTACTACTTGCTGCTTCTCTCTCTCCCCCCCTTTCTTTTTTTTTTTTAAAGACTGCAGCGAGGTTTGCTCGGCTCACAGTATGCCTTAAACCATTGTTCCGATTATAAGTTCTCCCCAACCAGCCAATAACAAATGGTAAAAAATATCTGCTGCATGTTTTCTTGTTAAAGCCGAGAACAACCTAAATTACACGACATCCGTTCAGTCAAAATAATTATTTCTTCATCTCCCAGATTCCTCAACCATAAAATTCTACAAGACATATCAGCAAGCCTACATCGTAATCTACTTAAAATTCAGTCTGAAAAGGTCATCTATTCTCACTAACGGTTAATGATTTTTTATGCGGGAAAAGAAAGAGTTGATTTTATTTCTCAGAAACAAAACCATTTGAAAAGAGAGACATGAATGCTCAGTAGATCCAATTCAATAAGTCCCATTGATTCAATGGTTTACTCTAATTAGAACTAATAGTTCAATTTAGACCTGGGAATATTTTAAACATTCAGTATTTTTTCAGTTTACCAGACAGGGCTAATGATGACAAAACTAGAATAATGATGCATCTATAATCTATGTCTTTCCTCCTTTGAAAACATCAAATGCAATGTTTAACAACAGCACAATGGTTTCCTCATTCTAAATATACATGAGACATAGTGATTTGACATTACAAGGATCCTTTGTTTAAAGGAATTCTCAAAAAACACTCACTACAGATATACTGCTCTATAAGCCAAATGTGTATACACTGCATGTGATAACAAATTACTGCATACACAAACAACTGTATTATCAATTGTGTATATCTTAACATTTTTTCAGATGTCACCCATGTTGGGATATCAGCCAGAATGCTAATGCCCTAAATCAAGAAACAGCTTCCTAAGATCTACAGAGATACTTGCAGGAACATCTCAGCAAGCAAGAGTCCAAAAGTGGCAGGCTAAAACCCAGAACCTCAAGCCATGGCTGATACCAAATGAGAGATTCCCTCCTGGGCACACAGAAGACTGGGCGTCTTGGAAGGCGCTGAACAGACTGCGCTCTGGCACCACGAGATGCAGAACCAACCTTAAGAAATGGGTTACAAAGTGGAGTCCATGGCATGCGAGCGTGAAGAAGAGCAAACCACAATCCCCCTATTACAATGCAGGCTGAGCCCTGCCACATGCACAATGGAGGATTTTCTTAAAGCAACATCAGGGACACTCCAAGTGGCCAGCTACTGGTCAAAGGACATTTCATAGAATGCCAAGTTTTTAAACACATGATGATGATGATGATGATGATGATGATGATGATGATTATGTTGCAATCCCAGGTGACAGCAGGATTGAAGAGAAACAACTGGAAAAGCTGACACGATATTGGGATTTAAAGATCAAACTGCAAAGACTCTGGCACAAGCCAGTCAAGGTGGTCCAGTGGTGATCGGCCCACTGGGTGCGGTGCCTAAAGACCTTGGCCTGCACCTAAACACAATTGCCGCTTACAAGATTACCATCTGCCAGCTACAAAAGGCCACCTTACTGGGATCTGCACGCATTATTTGCCGATACATCACACAGTCCTAGACACTTGGGAAGTGTCCGACGTGTGATCCCATACAAAAGCCAGCAGAGTGTCTGCTGTAGACTCATCTTGTTGTATTTCAAATAATAGTAGTAGTAGTAATAATAATAATAATAATAATAATAATAATAATAATAATAATAATATAATTTATATTCCGCTCTATCTCCCCAAAGGGATTCAGGGCAGATTCCAAACATTCAATGCTCGAATACAACAACAATACATCCAGGTTAACAAAATTTAAACAACCCAACTTATAAACACGAATTACAACCCAAATTAAATGAAAAACATAGTCTGTTATAATGGACATAAGACAAAACATCAAACATCGAATGGATGCAATAATTTCCTATTTCCTTGGGGCAAATTGATTAATCATTGCTCAAGTTTGAGCTGGTGTGGTGAGCATTACAACTGTACCCTCAGTTTGCTACTGATATGATAAATAAATAAACTTAACATTGCACAGTAGTCATATATGAATCAAACAGAATATAAACTATGACATATTTCTAGTGCAACTCAAGTCACGTGGAATTCTCTTGATCACTTTCAGATTTTATTCAAGTTCTGTAGCTTGACTGCTGATATTACCAATGATACATTACTGAATGGAGAATATCCATTGAAAATGGCAATCCAAATAAATTACTCAGTTTCATTACCAGTTTTTATTAATGTAAATTCAAATAATAAGGTTTTGGGACACTATCTAATATGAGGGAACGGAACCACACATCCTTTCAGGCAAACCTCAGTTCAAGAAACTGAGTAAAATTTATCTTTTAGCAATAAAAACATCTGAGTAGATTGGACGCTCCATCTAGACTGACTATATAATCCAGTTCAAAGCTATAGTTCCCAAGCTTTTTTTAACCAGGGACCACTCTACAACATTAGTACCAAAAGGGTTAACCAATCAGTTTTAGTCAACTTTTGATTTGGGCTGATTATATGGGGTGCTGATTCCAAAAACTGCGTTGGATAGACCACATCAGCTCTAGTTTCTGATACAGAACATATGCCATCCAGTAGTGGCCATCTGCTCGCTCACATAAAATAATATATAATAATTGAGAGCTGATGTGGTCTATCCAATGCAATTTTCTGAATCAGCACTCCAAATAACTCCAAATGAATACACCAAGAATTTTTTTTGTTAGTTGGGCTGTGTTATTATCCATGGATTTTGTTAATGCTCATGTAAAAAAAGAAAAAGAGGACTGCAGTTGAAAAAAATACAAAAAGCGGAGTGCAAGACCCAAGAAACTATCCCTAACAGCAACTACAATAACAACAACAACAACAACAACTTTGAGGGAGTAAACAGGGTATTACAAAGGGCTGTTTTCCTGTTGAAACTGATGTGTGGCAATGGGAGCTAACAACAACAACTTTGTGGGACTAAAAGGGGTCTTACAAAGGGCTGCTTTCCCATTACAACTGATGTGTGGCAATGGGAACTAATAACAACAACAACAACAACAACAACAACAACTTTGGGGGACGAAACAGGGTCTTACAAAGGGCTGCTTTCCCATTGCAACTAATGTGTTGCAATAAAAGCTAATAACAACAACTACTACTACTACTTTGGGGGACTCTCCTTCTCCCTCTCCCTGTCCTCCAATGGCATTGGGGAGGCCATGAGAGGGCAAGGGCAATGTTGCTGGCCTCTTTCCTTCCTTCCTTCCTTCCTTCCTTCCTTCCTTCCTTCCTTCCTTCCTTCCTTCCTTTCCTTCCTTTCCTTCCTTCCTTCTCTCCCTCTCCTTCTCTCTCTCCCGCTTTCCTCCAATGGCGGTACACACACCAGCCACAGACCTTATTTTGGTCTTGCGGCCCACTAGTGGGCTGTAGCCCTGGGTTGGGAACTACTGACCTAGACTGAAGACTTAAACTATGTTTAAGACTGCATTTGGTTTATCTCATCACTTAAGATAAATCAAATATTTGACACCAACATCAACACACAAAGAAAGCTATAAGGTATTATTTTTCTTATGCTAAAATGCCAGTTGTTGTTCATTCGTTCAGTCGTCTCCGACTCTTCGTGACCTCATGGACCAGCCCACGCCAGAGCTCCCTGTCGGCCGTTACCACCCCCAGCTCCCTCAAGGTCAGTCCAGTCACTTCAAGGATGCCATCCATCCATCTTGCCCTTGGTCGGCCCCTCTTCCTTTTGCCTTCCACTTTCCCCAGCATAATTGTCTTCTCTAGGCTTTCCTGTCTCCTCATGATGTGGCCAGTTAGCATTTCAATATATGGTATATTTCAGTTCTTTTAATTTCTTATTTCATGCCTTACTATCATTCTGGATATTTAGTTATACAGTACAATCATGAAAATGGGAAATTGTAAAATCGAGAATTTCTGTGGAAGGAATCCATTTATAGAAGGTTGTACAACGAATTACAGGGTTACACATGAAGACTGTCAATAAGAAAAACAAAATCAGACATGTATGGTGCCAAAAATCCTGGATACCTTTTCCAATTTTGCAAACCTAGGTAGAAAGAAAAAACTGAAGTGGACTTATTCTAGCTTAGATAAACAGATGTTTTCCAGTCATAAAAAATAGAATTGCCTGTACTCTGAAATCTCAGAGCTAAGCACGGAGGAGAAGTAATCATCACATATGCTGGATCTGTCAGTAGAAT